GGGGAGTCTCCTTTGAATCAGTTCGTCCTTGGATGACGGTCTTGACTTGGATAACAGTTCGGGTTTCTGGTTTTCTTGGGATCAGTTCTGCCTTGGATGATGGCCTTCACCTGGATAAGAGTTCGGGTTTCGGGTTGCCCTGTCGGGTTTCGGGTGGGGTTTCGGGTGTCCCGTTCTCCGTTTTCACCCGCAATCCCTTGTTTCTTTGGGTCGAACTACAAGCTACATTTTTCCTTCAGTCAAGAATTCACACCTGAATAACGGTCATCATCTTGCTGACCGTTTCCCTTGTGATTCGTGCTATCGCTCACATCAGGATTCCGCCGTGCAAGTGGTGTTTTTTCATCAACTTGACTCAAGGAAATGATAATATCATTTTTGTCTTCTTTATTCGTGTTCGACCTTCATTTTGAGTCTAGCTATTCTGTTGTTTATTGTTCACGGTGGAGCCCGAACTGTTATCCAAGTGGAGGATATCATCCAAGGCAGTATTAGTCAATAACTGCTGTCTTGAGAGTACCTAAGGGCCTTAGGTACTGCGGTGTCACTTGGCTCAAGGTCGAGTCTTCCCAGTGCTAACTCAAGAGTCTCGCCGTCTACGGAGTTAACCATTAGGAAATGATAGTGATACTAACTATAATAGAGCTACTATCAACATCATAAACCGATAATCTGTTTAATAATCCCGCAACCGGGGGCACGTGCACAAGCGTTGAGCACTTAACCTATGCGTGCCAGCGGAGCGATCGATGTCATGTTTGCCGAAAAAGAGATTGCCTGCAATGAAGGGGCCCTTCCGATGGCTTGGTGCAGTAAACCCGAACCGCAGTACTCTCAAGACAGCAGTCTTTCTCAAGACTCCGATGGCCTTAGACTAAGGCCATCGGAGTTTGGTTTCAGCGAAACCATCGTTCTGCGCTGTTCATGCACTTTCCGTGCAATCTTACTGACAGTTCAGATATTTACTGATAGATTCAGTCAGAGCCTATCTTCATATCGCATACTGCGTTTCACAGCAGTTGTTCGACGTACTCAAGTGATATACTAGCATGGCCGACCCGCAACATCTCCTCCCCCTCGCCATGTCGAACACTCCCTATAGTTATTCCCGTTCACGAAGAGCTCGATCACCTACTACTAGCAGCCCCACTGCACTCAACAACAACAGCAATGCTGATATCAGCAATGTGACCGCTGGCTCAGTGAGGAGGTCAGTAGTCATTAAATTGATAGAAATCGATTGACACCAAGGTTTTAGTCTATAGTCGTACTAGTTGCGAAGTAAAGAAAGCCCTCTCGAAAATCGACATATGCATAACTGTTTGGTTCGCACTGTAGTGATAGTTCCTTATACTTCTATATTGCTTGTTGTTAGATGTTATATATGGTAAGTAGCCATTCTGTATAGATATTACAATAATAAATTGTTATACTATGTAGCTACTCATGCAGTGGAGTCTAGCGGAGCGATGTACACATAGGTGTCTCATAGATATCACTCCACTACACTTCATAATTCTCTTCAGATCTCTATCGGCCAACACCTCCTCAACAGCAGCGTTATCATCAGAATTACTCTCACAAACAGCGCGACATGCTAAGGAGGTTCGAGGAGCAGTGGGTGAAGCGATGCAACTAAGACAGATTATGGAAAAACAAGAAAAGAAAATTGCATTCCTAATTGGAGAGCTGAAACTCACACGAGCTAAGCTCACGAAGAGCGAGGCCGATCTGCAAAGTGCATCGACAAGCCTTGATCGACTGGTGAGTGACCATGCACTAGTTGCTATTACGAATTTTCACTCATACACGTAGGAAAAAATACCAAAAAAAATGTTTAGAAAATGGAAAAATGTTGGATGCTACCATCTAAATGCTAAACAACGTTCTGGAAATGAGAAAAAATTGAAAATTTCATCATAAAAATGCTTTAGAAATTTTTTAAGAAATGGAAAAATGTTTAATGCTATCGTGAAAATGCTGAAAATGCTCGCAAAACGAAAAAATAAAAATGCAAAGAATGTTTAGGAAATGGAAAAATGTTAATTTTCATCGCTAAAGTTCCTATTGCCTCCATGGGTGACACAGGGTGGGGACGAAGTGTCAATTTTCGTCGGGCCTTGAAAAGAAAATTACAGTCCGATACACTCGAAAATATTAGAAACTAGAAAAATGGAAAAATTTCAAATGTTACCATTAACATTTCTGTTGCTCTAAATTCAGTACTCAGAAGTTGAATCTTGAGGAATCCAGTTTAGAGTTGATGTGAATCGACGGTTTACT